ATTTGGTTGATTATTGGTAACTGGGGGTGGCACAGTGGTGCAGTGGGTAGCACTGCTGCTTCACAGTAAGAAGGTAGTGGGTTTGCATTCAGTCTGAGGCTTTTCTGTGTGGAGTTTGCATGTTTTCCCCATGCTCATGTGAGTTTCCTCAGAGCGCTCTGGTTTTCTCCCACAGACCAATTGGAGACTTTAAATTGTCTATGGATATGAGTGTGCGAGTGAATGGAGTGAGTGCCTTGTGATGGATTGGCGAGCTCTCTTGTGTGTCTCCCTGCTTTTCGCTGGGAGGATAGGCTCCAGCTTCCCCCGCAACCTGGCTAGTGAGGAAGAAGCGGTATAAAGAATGGGTGGATATTGGTTTTAAGAATAGCTGATAGCTGGACCATACTACCTGTACTCAATGCAACAGATGTGACTGGTTAAATTCAGTAAAAGGAACACTTACATTTTATTACAATATGTTCATTCATTCTCCCGTTCGCTGAAAACTGAAAAACGATTGACTAAGGAGATGAATTTACGATATATAAAATTAGTATTTTGTAGACGATGAATTACAATTAGAGAGCTATAGGGGAGACCAAGGTCCGATGAGCCATGGGGACCAATGATCCATTTACCTATTTTTCCTATTTTCGGCAGCTCAGACGTTCATTGATTACAAATGTATGATATGGCTCATTGGTTCCCATGGCTCATCAGACCACAGTCTCCCCTGTTAATTGTTCTCTTGAATATTGTTTGACAATTGCATTTGCATTCTCAATAACACGAAAGAGAAAATGCATGTGTTGTGCTTGATGATAAATGACTGTGGGATATGGACAGAATATGATAATATAAATTAATGACAGTACTACAAAAGAAACCTGCAATGGATTGGCTCAGTCTTGCTGTTGCAAAAAAAAAAAAAAAAAAATGCCGCAAATGCTGATTGAAAAAAAAAAAATTATGTGATGAAAAAAGCAAGTGATTAACTAGTTCATCAAATAACTGAGGGTGGCTGTAGCCATGAAATGCATTCAGTCTCTCTCAGTTTTTATTGTTGAAAGTTTTTTTTTTTGCTGCCTTACATTCGTCTACGAAAATCAGAAGCAAAATGCTACAATCAAAAATAGTAGTAAATAAATTAAAAAAACAAATTATATCTCACTTGAGAAATTCATTTTTCCCTGAAATCAAACAAATATTATGGCGCTACTTTAGGTTATACCTCGAACCCAGCAATTTTCAATCACATACCATTGTAAGCGAGCAACCTTGACAGTCTGTCTTAATACATTGTGCCTCTAATTTAGCCAATACCTGATTCAAGACTAGTTTCAGATTGGCAGTGACCATTGTCACATGAATTGATAAACCAGCTTAAAATCCTAGAGAAATTAGTAAACTGAGTAGAAGAATTTGTGTTGCTATTTTAATGAGGCAGTCAGGTAATGAAGTACTTTTTTTTTAAAGGTGATTAGGCACTAGCCAATCAAATAGATGAACATTAGCCAAGTTAAAAATGGAAGCATATTCCGTAAACAAATTTATTGGTTGGTATGCGAACACTATGAGGGGTGGCTCAGCCTTGGAACTGTCTGTGTGGAGTTTGCATGTTCTGCCCACTTTCGTGTTAATGTCAGGTGCTCTGGTACCCTCCTACAGTTCAAAGACATGCAAGTCATGCTAATTGAAATTTAATGCCCATAGATATGAGCGTTTAAGTGAATGGTGCCATTCCTACACTTTCTTCGAAGAGTTTGAAGAATGTCATTATGCAGCCTTAAAGAAAAGTGTTGTTACAAAATAAGTAAATAAATGAATAAATAAATAATAACACTATGAATTCATAAATATCAAAACTATCTGTACTTCAGCAATTTTTTTGGTATCTGAATTTGCTATGGTGTTTTGAAATCACCTGCATATCAAAACTGTAAGTGGCGCACAACAAGTGATGCGTTTTACGCATTTTGTTCTGCTCAGTCGCCTAGTGCAGCATGGCTGTTACAATGACTCCTCACTGTCTGTCTGTCTGTTCCTTGTAACTACCTTCACCCTAACCCCTTCACACTGAGCATACTGATGGAGCCACCCTGCTCTAGTACATTACTAACACCAACTGCACTGTGAACTATCGATACGTATCTAATGCGCCTCAAACTTAGTCTTGGGGAATCACCTTGTGTGCTGGTTTTTGTTCCGACCACAATTGCAATCCCAGAATTTTAATGAGTCGTATTTCTCTTAATTTCAATATTCATGTTTATATTGATTATTCACCCCTTTCAACACACGTTTATGAACTGCTCAAAATAATTAAGGGAAAACTTAAATCGCATATTAGACCTTATTGAAAATCTTTACTGATGCGCATTGTTTAATTCATTAAGAACAAAATGACATTTCAACAGTCAGTGGAAACCGAAATCATCTACCCATGGAGGGCTGGATTCAATATCACCCCAAGAATCAAAGTAAAAAATTTAAATCACAGGCTAATCCAACTTGCCTAAATTTTATCACATCAACATAATGTGACTCAGTAGTGTTTATGGCCCCCACGTGCCACGCCTCGACCTGGATCAGGGCATGAGTGAGCTCCTGCACAGTTTGTGGCGGTACTTAGTGGCATCGGATGCACTGATACATAACGTCCCATGGGTGCTCAATTGGATTTAGTTTAGGGGAACAAAAGGGCCAGTCAATGACATCAGTGCCTTCGTCATCCAGGAACTGCCTACACGCTTTGGCCACATGAGGCCTGGCATTGTCCTGCACCAGGAGGATCCCAGGACCCACTTCACCTGCATAAGGTCTGACAATCGCTCAAAGGATTTCATCTTGGTACCTAACAGCAGTCAGGATACTGTTTGCTATGACATGGAGGTCTCTGCGACCCTCCAAGGATATGCCTTCCCAGACCATCACAGACCCACCGCCAAATCGGTCATGCTGGATATTGTTACAGTCAGCATAACCTTCATTATGGCGTCTCCAGACTCTTTCACTCCTGTCACGTGCTAAGTGTGAACCTGTGCACCAGTGGCAGACCTGCTAATTCTGGTGTTCTCTGGCAAAAGTCAGTTGAGCTGCACGGTGCTGCGCTGTGAGTACAGGTCCCGCTAGAGGACGTCGGGCCCTCATGCCGGCTTCAGAGTGTTATGATTCTGCCATGTCTGTTCTGTTTTTGCCATGTCTTGTTATGATTCTGCCATGTCTGTTCTGTTTTTCCCATGTTCTGTTTAGTTTTAGTTTATTGCCAAGTTTTCGTTTTTGCCATGTTTTGTAATTCCCTGCCATATCCACATTTCTGTTATATTTCGGTCCATGTCTTTGTTCATGCCCTGCATTGCACTTTGTCTCCCCTGTCTGGTCTTTTGTTAAGCTACAGCTTCTCCCCAAGTCCTGCGTGTCACATGTTTAGGTGATTTCATGGTTTCTGGGTTTCCAAACATTCCTTCTAATCTCGTTTGCTTCCTTCGCCTTGCTTTTCTATTTTTACTAACCAGTACTAACAGTTTATTGTTTTTTTTTAAGTTACTAACCAAGACTAACATTGTATATAATACTAACTTACTAACGAGCACCAGGGATTGTATAGCTGAACTTTACTAATTGATTAACAAGCTCTCAGCACTCGCCCTGTTCTAGTCTCCGCCTCTTGCCTTCACTTAGTCTTTGCTGCAGTTCAGCGGATCCTCCGCACCTGCTGAACTCTGTCCTGCCTCTCATTATCTGTGCACGTTAGAACTCCTTAACCGGAGCTGTATGTTTTGTCATAGGCTGTCTCGTGATCCCTGTCCGCGTTTTGGCTTTTGCCAATTTTATGTGGTTAGATTCTCCCTTGTGTTTGCTCCCACGTAATTATTCTGATCCAATTCACCTGTCCCTTATCATAGCATGTGACTTCCCTTGTGTGTATTTAAGCAGTCTTCTCACAGCAGTTCCCTGTCAGAACGTTTCTCTTGGTTTGCCTGTGCTACGCTTGGTTTCGCCTCGTATTCTCTAGTGATTCTCTTCTGACTGGACTGTCCCTGATTTTTGATTTTGGCTCTGTATTGGATTGATTGTTACCTCTGTGTATTGAACCCTTTTTTGCCTGACTAAGAATTCTGTGATTGGTGCCCTGTTTACGACCCAGATTACGCCCTGTGGATTTTTGATTTTGGGATTGTGGACCTTGTACCGTTGCCCCCCTGCTCTGCGCCCCCTTTCCAATAAAGATCCTATTTTACTGCATTCCTGGTTCTCGCGTCTGGTTCCAGATCGTTACCTAACAGAGTCTGTTTCTGACTGTTTGTTCAGAAACATTCCAACCAGTAGCCTGCTGGAGGTCGTTTGTAGCCTGCTGGAGGGCTCTAGCAGTACCCTCCTATTTCCTTCTCGAACAAAGGAGCAGATTCCGGTCCTGCTTCTGGGAAGATGGCCTTCTACGGCCCTGTCCAGCTTTCTTTGTGCGATGGCCGGTCTCCTGGTATCTCCTCCAAGCTCTTGAGACTGTGCTGGGAGACACCGCAAACCTTCTCACAACTGCATGTATGGATGTGCCATCCTGGAGCAGGAATTTTGGCAGCTGGAATAGGTTGGCCATATCGTTGAGCCCGAGGTGGGAGCAGCATAGCAGAATGACAGGGCGAGCGGGCCCTTGCCCCATCACTTTTACCGGGGCATTGCCCCAGTACTTTGAAGACAAATTAACAAATTTTTGGATCATTTTATCCTCTACCTTCCCCCGCCAGGAAAAGGTTGTGCTATAATCATGAAGAATATCAAGGAAAAAATATAAATCAGTATGCATATTTACATGTAAAAATGAGCAAAATTATTTTGATTCCATGGGTCCTTTTAAATGGACTGCATTTTATATAGCGCCTTTCTAGTCAGATGACACAAAGCGCTTTACAATTATGCCTCTCACTCACCCTGATGGCGGAGGCTGCCGTGCAAGGCGCCAACCTGCACATCAGGAGCAGTGTTCAGTGTCTTGCTCAAGGACACTTCGACACGTTCTCTGGAGGAGCCGGGATCGAACCAGGAACCTTTCAATTCCTAGCCTAGCTGCTCTACCTCCTGAGCTATGCCGCCCTTTAAGTATTCTCAAATGCCGCCCTTACTACTTTTGAGCAGTGTATAAAATCCCTATGCATGCCCAGAGTGGTGTACTACGTAGCAAGTTCAACATTAGCCAGGATTTCTTTGCATGAGCTGGCTTGACAAAGCCTAAACTCGCAATCAGAGATACCATGAGTTACCATAGCAGGTTAAAAGAGCCCATCCTTATAGAGTAGTGAAGTGATGACGTCACAGCTACTTAGCTTCTGGTGTCAGAAGTAAAATCCCGTTGGAAATTTATAATGGCGTTGGGACACTTTTTGGCATTGCTCCAACTCATTAATTTTTTAAGCTGGCTCGCTCCGAGATTAGCCTACGGGGTATACGGATGCAAGTGATCACATCAAATTGTTTATTGCTAAAAATGATATGCTTTTGCACTTGTAGTTTGGTGTGTAGTCCACTTTTGTGAACAACATATCCTCTAAACAAACGGGCAAGTACCTCATGATTTGTTCCCGGCCAATGGGGTACCACAGTTTCAGCAAAAACTCACAACAGAAGCCAAGCTACATTGCCGTTGGCTATCTCCGTGCAGCCCTACTTACACAGTGAGCTACTATGAGCTAGCTAGCTACATGCCTATAAATGAATGGGTAACAGTGGATAGCTATTCTTTCGCCATTTAGCTAGCTAGCTAAGCATTTATGTGCAATATGACTAGCTACACCAGCAAACTACCGAGCTAGCCAGCTATTTAGCTGATTACATCTTGTGCACATAGGTGATTCGATAGAAAACAAAATGGTTAGCTTGCTAAATCACAGTAAGTGACAGAAACTAACTAGCATGATTTTTCACTAAATATAACTAGCTAAGCTAGTGAAATGGCTAGTTTGCTAACCTAGCCAGCTAGCTCAGTAAAAACAGTGAATAGCCATTATTTGGCTACCGGTACTGCGAGCATTTCACAAGCTGGCATTTAACTAAATGCACCAAATATGAAGTTAGCCAACTACTGAAAAAACTAGCTCACTAGCTAAGTTAGCCTGCTAACAGCTAGTTCGCTGTCAGTTATGCGTTGACAAGTCTGATTAGCTCGTTCGCTAGCTACCGAGTTTTTAAGCAAGCAAATGTTGGCCACAGATGCTTGGCTATTAAGGTAAATTGGCACTAATTGCAAAACTGGATATCTAGAAAGGAAAGAATATGTGATGGGATCTGCGAAAACCAGTCACATGGTGAAATTTGACCACCTGGAGATTCTGAACCACCTGAAAGCTGATTTTAAGCTGATTTTAAATCTGTTTTCATTTTTTTCATACCTTGTCTGTATCAAATGTTATGGCCACCCAAAGTCAGCTTATCAGATGGATTTTCTCTCATGGAATTTTGAGAAAAAAGGGTTTAAAGTCAGGTATTCTAAATGGAATCAGAATAGCAAGGTTTTAAAAGGTACATGTCAGTCACTTTCCTTTAGTAAAACACCTATGTGTAGTCAATGTACATGTTGTAAAATGTACATAAAGTTGATTTTGGCATCAAGCAACACTCAATCATAAATTAGTTGAAAATTCAGTGTCTCAATTCATGAAAAAATCCAGTGAATTTAACATAACGCCAAAGTTTTGTCACTTCATAGAGTTATTTTTTTTTACAACTATTGCAAGAATGAAAAAACAAAACATATTTCATATTGATGAAACATACACACCACAAGATCTATTTTATAATAATAAAAATATTGTTAAGCTATTATACGGTTTTACCTAATTAAGCAGTAAGGCTATATGTACCAGTACTATGTACAGTAATCATTCTCTTAGACATTACTATTATACAATATAGGTTATTAATTAAATATGATGCGTATTTCACATGTGCATATCAGGCGAACAACAAACAATTTATTACACACTATGTCTTAAACAATTGTGTACTTTACATTAAATATATCATAAATTATTATGTATATTAAATATCTCATATTGACACAAACCACTACTTTCCAATACATCCCTTTACAAAATTTGAACTTTTGCCAAGACAAAGGCCTATTACTTCAAAAAACATATCAAAATATTGAGATAAACAGTAATTTCATACTATACTCTTGGGTATTCAAAACCACAATAAAAATAAAATACTACTACAATGCAGCATATTAATGCTAATACAATAGGCCCCTGGTCCTCAAATCACACCCTACAAGGTCCGAGAACTGCTGGTTTTCCACCCTCCGTTTACCCGAGAGTCAGGTATTAACACAGTCTGGCCAATCAGAGGCACCAACTGTTCATTTACCTGCCTGGGATAACAGAAAATCTGGGCTGGATTTGGATTCGAGGTCCAGATTTGAGGATCCCTGCAATAGGCTAATCATCACCAGCAGTGATCATGTCATTTAACAAGGCGCCACCAAAACATTCTGTCTGGTCTGAAAAAATATATGTACTGTATATAACATGTAAATCGTGATAGATGAATTCGCTTGACTACTCTAAAAGAACGAGATCTTCCAGGAAACTTTCTTACCCTGTCAGACCCTGGATTAGATTAGCCTGAGAGCTGTCCATAGTTGTAAATTACAGTCTGATTAATACAGAAAGAGATAAGTCACCTGAAGGCAATGGCCGTTTCAAATAACATTTTGTTGTTTTATGAAAGATGACTGACTTGACTGTTTTGATTGCACCTTGTATGATCAGATCGCCAAGCAGGCTAACTAGGTGGGATGGGGGGGCTGTGGATACCGTAGTTAGCTGACCTTCATCAGACTCCTCTTGCTCTTGTTCAGCACTAAAATCATCAGCGTCAACGTCTAGCTCATCTTCTCTGGATGTGAAATAATCTATTATAACATCCTGCAAGGCATTAGTATCTCCTGAGTTGAGGAGGTTGATTCGTCCTAATTCGTTTAACTGGGCAGCTAGTTCGCTCTCCTTTCTTGTTCAAAGCTCTGCCATCTCTGTATCGTCTCGTCAGTCGCAAATCTGACCCAGATAGCAATAGGAATCGGCCCGATTCCGTTTTAGTGTCGGCGCTGCCGGCATAGTGTCAGATCAGGGGCATAACAACTCAGCCGTAATCTTGCCGATTCCGTCTCACCAAACAGCTGCTGATCCTGACTGCGCCGGAATCGAGCCAGCTCTGGCAATGTAAAGACTGTACGGAATACGGCTTGATTCCATGAACACGCAGTCAGGCCGAATACGGCAAACCGGATCTCCGCCATTCACCTGCAGCCTCAGGTAGCTTCAACACAGCGGTAATCTTGACAATTCCGCCTGGCCATAATCTTGCCGATTCCGCCTGGCCGTAATCTTGCCGATTCCTCCTGGCCGTATGCCATATGAACTGCAGCACACCAGAGTCGGGCCGATTCTGGTCTGTCGGAGTTGGCCCAACTCTACCCTAAGAGGAATCGGCCCAATTGCCACTTGAGTGTCGGCACATGACTCTACGGATATGCACAAGTCAACTTCTGGAGCCGTCTAATCAGTCCCTGTATCTTCATCGTCGTCGTCTGATAAACAGGTTAGTGATTTTTAGTGTTGGCAAACACGATTCCTGAAACAAATATTTTTCTTACAGTTTTGCTTTTTAAGTATTGCTAGCTGTCATGCTGTAATTAGAGCTAAAATACCGGCTGAGCTATTTAACTGTTAGGCCTAAGTTTAGGTAATGAGGAAGCTAGCGAAGTTGGCACCATAACGTAACCATGAACGTTAGAGCTCTTTTCAGTTGGTGATCTCGAGCGAACATTGCGTGCTAAATTTATTACCTTAACTTCACGTTTGTGTAACAACTACTTGCATGACTTTAGCAAATTCACTAGGTAGCTCCTAAGTTTTACCCTATGAAAATTGGAAAGATTTTTTTAAATTATGTTAAACTAATGAATTCACAAGCTTGTTTGGTATGTGAGCAAAATTGTTGGTTGCAGTTGTGCTGTTGGGTCTAATGCTATCGTTAGCTGGCAAACCTAACGTTATTCATCTATCAGGACTGGAAATGCTGTGTTTGAGAGTTAGCTGGCTGGCTTGGTATGCGAAATAAGTTAACCCCTGTGAGATGGTTGGCCAGTTATGCTAAATGTTAATGTCACAAAATACTCGAGTTTGACATTGCATTGTTGCATTCTAAGGTAAACATTACCGTGTATGCTTGATAAATCTTTTTGTTTTTCAGATTGAGTTGAGCCGCCTCTCCACTTGGACTTCATGTTAGCTTGCGAGCTGACATCTCGAAGGTAAGAAGCTAGAAATGGCTAGCTTAATTTAGCTAAGCTGAGTTAGTGATTGTAATACCTCGCTTGCAAGTTGCCAACTTAGTTTTTATGGGGTTTTTGTCTTGCGTCACCGTCAAACCTAAGGTATGGTAACATTTTCTAGCTTGCAAGCTCGTTTCGTGGAGTACGTTCGCTAATTTGCTACAGCTGCTAATTTGTGCATGCAAGTTAGTTTTGGTCAATATGATAAACTTGGTTGTGCATTTAATTTGCCAAACTTGTATTACATCATATTGGCGTGGTAGCTAGCTAGCTTTTAATGCCTGGAGGCATCATTACTGTTACAGAAATACCAGACCTCAACAAAATGCCGAACTTGGCAATGGAGAAATGTTTATCAAATGTTAGCTAGCTACATACATATTTGCTCATTAGCTAACACACGTCATTGTTTCAGAAATTGTCATGCCATTTTTTACGAGTACACACTTAAATTTGCATGGCTCAAATTGAATTAAACGCCACAGTTAATGTGTAGACATCCATTTGATATTATTTGTCATTTAATATAGAGGAGGTAAAGATCTGGCAGCCCAAATAAAACTGGTATGGCTTGGAATTGGGCCGCATGTGGCGGGATTCTGATGATGTGCAGGCAGTGTCGGCTGAGTTCCGGTGAGTGGTAATCGGGCCAGATCAATTTTTCTACAACTGGGCCGTATCTGGCTGAGTAATGGCAAATTGACGGCGGTGACGGCAGAAAGGGAACTGCGCCAGAATCGGGCAGTCATTCAATCTGATT